ATGGGCATGACTTGGTGGTCATGTGACTGGCTGGGCATGGCCAACTCAACATCACTCACATCGAGTCACGCATCTCCTCACCTGGCCTCTCAGGACTGTGGGGATGCTGCAACAGTCATAAGTGTGAAAAACGGTCATAAGTTACTTTTTTCAGTGCCATTGTAACTTTGAATGGTCACTCCACACAAGCAAAGTACTAGCAAAGGAGGGGGAAAACTGCAGAGAAGTTCCTGAGACAGGAAGTCTAGTCCTGCCAAGAATGTAATAAGGGTTAACGGAGAGGCAGTTTCTGTAAGCAACACCAGAATCTTTCCTTCCTGCCTTCCTTACAGGATTAGGCCAGTAATTTCTTTTAACAACCGGTTCTCTGAACTGCTTAGAAAGTTAACAACTGGTTCTAGCAAATAGCTGCGGACTGGTAGAATCCCACCCCTGAAACAGAACAAACAGATACTGTCAAGTTCAAAACGTGCTTTCTGTCATTTTTCTATGCATCATTCCCTCTCAAGGGGTATTCAAATGTTTGCAACTTTGTTTTCTTTTTGTGTCTTGAAATTATTCAAGATTAGATGAGCACTACTAAGCAACCAGGCCTCTTGTCTTTAGAAGAATTGCTTTACCCTTAGAAAGGAAAACAAAAACAAGATTGATTAAATCCCTTATAAGGTGATGACAGAGAATGCGATGGCTGGATGGAGTCACTGAAGCAGCAGGCATGAACTGGACTCTGGAGGATGGTAGAAGACAGAAAGGCCTAGAGGAACATTGTCCATGGGGTCAGGATGGTTTGGACACAACTTTGCAACTAACAACAACACTCTTCATGTAAACATATGGAAGGGTAGTGGTGGAGGTGGATGGAGAGATTTTTAAAATTCCTAGCAATGTGACTCTTATGTATATACCCCTCACATCCTGGATGTGAATTGTTTCAACTCCTCCCCTCGGGATGCCACTACAGGGCATTGCATGCCAAACCAACTAGACGCAGAGGCCCAAAGATGCTTTTTCAAAAGGGTTCTTCAGAGTTAAAGAAGCTTCTTGGATGAGAAGTGAAATGTCTTCAAAGAAAAAACAGAAAGTCCAGTTGCCTCTTGAAAAAGCATCTTTTGGGACAATCATGACCTGGATGCTGAGAATCTTCATAGACGTTTAGACACAGAGATATTTTTTTCCTCATGCCATCACTCTGCTGAACTACCCACAGTACTGTCTTATGTATATTTACCCATGAAGTATGACTGTATTACTATTATTCTTCTCATCTTTTCTACTACCTTCTCTTAGAAGAGTTAGGGTTAGGGTTAAGGTTAAGGTTAAGGTGTCATTATTATGATTATTTTCACTTTATTGTTTTGCATGTACACCGAGAGTTTCTGGACCAAAGACAAATTCCTTGTGTGTCTAATCACACTTGGCCAATAAAGAATTCTATTCTATTCTATTCTATTCTATTCTATTCTATTCTATTCTATTCTATTCTATTCTATTCTATTCTATTCTATTCTATTCCATTCCATTCCATTCCATTCCATTCCTTTCATCACAAGGATCTTTAAAAAAAATGATGCTGTACAAATAAGACAATAAAAAAGCAGTCTCCTTCAGGTCAAGTTCAATTCCTAGACTACATGTCCAAATAGTTTTCTTGACAATCATATGGAAATTGTTTGCCATTACCAACTTCTGGTCTGTTCTAGAGACTTAGAATAGTCAGGTGTTTTCACATCCCATTATTTCAGGTATGACCAGGCATAGTTTTTTGAGATCATGAAAGTTACCTAGGCACTGATATCTGCTGTAATTCACAAGGCAATGCCTGTGATTCAAATATGTATCTAGAGGCATATTAGATTAATCTGTATGGATCCTTATTACTTTTTATAGTGCACATCCAAGGCTAATTTGGTATAGACATCTCTTTAACTGGAGCATAAAATTCACATCATACCTAACAACTCAATAAACAAGACAACTACAAACAAAGCAAATTATTCAGCTATTATCAAAATCAACTCCTTAATTATTTATGAGCAGACTAAAAGATGTTACTGCATACTAGCTGAGAATTTAAGATTGTTCTCACTCTATGTTATTCTACCACTTAAGTAGGGAAAAAGAAACCCCACAGACCAATTTTAAACCTGAAGTAATTTATTCTGGGTCACATTTGCTATTTGGCAACCTCCCCAAAACCAAATTATTCTGATTAAAGTGTACATTATTGCTTTGGATTGCATATGTGAATTATTACATTCAATCATTATGGCTCAGATCTAAATGAGCTGCTTAGGCACACGTAAGTACTTGACAGTGTGTGCAGCCTTCTAGTTCCCCTGGACTAAATCAAAAGAGTTATGCATGCTTAAGCCATTGAAATCAATGGGTTTATGTATTCTTAGCTCCAGTAAAGCATCTGGTTTTAATCTGCAATTCCAACTGGCTTTTTCTGGGTTCCTTTGAGTTTCAGGCATAGCTTTTACTGGCTAGGTTGAGTGCAGCATTAGGAAGGGGCAGATCAGAATTCCTTTTTAAGATAGCTGTCCTCTCTATGAAACTCTGACTTCTGCTGAAGGAAGAACAGATTTTAATTTAGTTTGATTTGAGGTTATGATTAACTATCCCACAGACAAAGCTGAGTCCCTCAGCTGCAATGAACTGGGAGAGAAAAGCAGAATTGCAACAGTTGGAAGAAATTACTTCAGCCACTGAAAATTCCAGTGTAGTGCAAGATCCAAATTAAGGCATTTACAAAACCTGTCTATCCAATTTACTATCAATTGTCTCTTGAAGATATCCAACAGATGAGAACTCACCACTTCGTTATTAGTTTGTTAACTACAGAACTGAACTGACACTTTCCAACTAGAATTTATCTTCCATAACTTAAGATTCTGATTATTTCACATCCTACACCAACAATACTTGAAAAGAGATCATGGTTGCTTGCTGCATGTCAACATTTTGGGTTCTTGAAGAGTCCTATTATATTTCTCAAGACCAAATGCCCAGTCATTTCAATCATCATTGCTGCCTTCTCCGCACTGTTTCAGTTTACTTTTCTTAAGATGTTTAATTAAACGCTACAGCCTTCTAAAAATGTATTTGAGTGCCTGTTCCCTGTAATATGAGTAGTTCTTGAAGATTCCTTGGATATGGTCTATGTCATCTCAAAACAGGAAACATTGGTAGGGGAGGAGGGGAGAGAATATTTTATTTTAATTTTAGAGGATCATTTTTCTATGTGCTCAAACATGACCTTTTCACAAACTTTCCCCCCCTCAGTTGTCAAACTCAGGGTGATCCTTTATTTCTGTTTGTAGCTGCATGCAAAATTGTGTGTTTAAAAACTACTGAAATTGTCAAGATACTTATTTTTTTCCCTCAGAGCTCAGGTCAAAAAGTTCTTTTTAAGTTTCCAGCCAAGTACCATTACTCAGAAAGAAAAGTGTTGAATGTAAACCATCTTCAACCTGGTATTTTTCAGATGGGTTAGATTTCCATACCAATAATCTAGATCCAGTAAGAACAAAGGCTATGATTATATAAATTAAAGGCCAATATATCTGATAGGAACTATGTTTGGGAAAACCGTCAAAGAACAGAGGGAGAAACAAAATGGTATAGTGTTTAATATTTAGATCAAGTCTAGGAAGAACTAGTTAAAAATTAAGTAAGCTTAAAGGGTGCCTTTGGCCCAGACACTCTTAATCAGATTTCTTAATCAGGTTGACATTCTTATTCACTTTCTTAGGTCTGTGTTGAGAGTACAACTACCTATTTTGGGAATTATAGTGAAAAGAGGACCCTAGTCATGTATTGCTGTTTAGGTTGCCATCTTGAATTCTTCAACCTTGTTGCTAGGAATTTTCCCAACTATTGAGATTGGAGGGTTTTTTTCACCCCTCCATACTTAGCAGATGATATAAGGACACCTTAAAGACAGCTATGGACTTATCCCAAATAATTTTCATCTCCAAGCAATTGGCTTGTGATCTGAAGATGGAAGAAATGGCTTTAATGATTCTTTGCCATAGCCTGATCCAGATGAGACACATCACACCCTGTGACCTTATGGTGGGAGACTGGGTTGGTTCTGAAAGTCTGTCTCAGACACCATATAGATCTGAAAGAAATCCAGTGGGTCCTTGGGATTTTTCCAGTAATTGGGTAGGGTTCATTGCCTCAAAGTAATCTGTTTCATTTATCAAAAATGAGCCACTTCTACACTTATATTCTTGATATAACTTAACATATGAGAGTAGGATGAATGCTACCTAAATTTGACAAATAAATCAGGATAAATAAAAATGAATTTTGCCAACTAATTTGTCATTGATCATGGTTGTGTGATGATTGTTTAAGCCCCCTTTTATGTGGTATAATAGGAGTAGATATTGGATTCTCAGATCAAAGTCTATCATTTTCAATGATATTAAACAATGGAATGCCAAATTTCCCTACTTTTCTGGCCCAACCACATTTATTATGATGTTTGTTTATTACTCTATTCTGAAGGTTTTAATGGAAAGAAGGCAGAAGCTTTCTACAGTCAAGTTATCCTGAAAAAATGTAAGCAGAATAATGTTACTTTCCCTCCATTGGACCTTTAGGATGTTTTAGTATTACTCAAGTTCACTTCCCACCCCAAGCATTTTTAAGATTCAAAGTTCCTGGTAAATGGAGCAGCTTGTGGCCTAGTAGACTGAGGGTGAATGAGAGGGTTCCCCCCAAATTTAGTAAAGGACTAGAAGCACCATTTCAAGCCAATTTCAGCCCTACACCCCAACCTAATTTAGTGTCATCCTTTCATATGAAGAAGTCATTTGGCGGAACCGGTGTGCTCCAATAAAGGCGAGATATGGTTTGAAGGCCCATGTGTTTCAGTTTCCTTTTGTACACATTTGTCTGGATTGATTTCTGGTTGTGTATTGGTGAGCTTACATCAAAAGGAATAATGACAGTATTTAAATCAAACAGAATGGTAGAATTCCACTTACATCCAAAGAGTCTTCATTCACAAGGATGAGAGTCATACTTTGGGAAACAAGCCTGCAGGAGTACCCTAGAAAAATAACATAGAATGGGTGGTATCAGAAAATACAATCAAAGGGCTCATTAAACAAGGATCTTGTTTTTTTCGTGCTAAAAAGAACAAAGAATCTTCTTCAGTCATCCTATCATCATGAGTGAAAAGAACAGAGTCCAGCTAGAAAGCTCAAATTCTCAATCAACCTCCTTTCCTCCATTGGCACATTTCCTTAGTTGGCAGGCCAGCCCCTGAGCCTTCCTTTGTGTAAGTTTAATACATAACTCTGAATCCTAATGGACATTTCTAAATTGTGTAAGTATTTGCAGATAATCTGAGAATAACAGAATGTACAAGAGATTCCCAGCATGACTGTTATGACATGTTTAATTGTGTGCATGAAATACAGGCCCAGTGTAGTATGAGATCAAAATATATTTTTAAAAAACAGTGCTGAGTAAGATAACAGTCTTCTCCAAATTATCATCCACCAGCTAACTTAAAAGGTTGTGCACTCTGGAAATTGTTCAGTCTCAAAGCAGCTGAAGAATGTTGGATTGAGGAAGCCTGGACTATGTAATACATCCACTTGTTTTCCACAGTGGCCAATTAGATGCTCCTATGTTGGTGCCTCATCTGCAATAAAGTATAAGGATGGCAAAATAAAAATATGTGGTGACATCATCCAACAAACCATTTTTCATCATTTCCCCAGTCACTGCTGAACCTAACAAACTAACAGGGCCTGTTTTGCCCATCAAGCTGACACAGATTGCAAGTTATTTGCTTACTGTATTTGTGTTTGGCTTAAAGTGTTATGTAAACCAAGGCACTTTCATTGGTAAGCTATAGTTTATGGTTTACCCTGCTATGCAAAGTCAACCAGCTATATTTTATTAAACAAATCACAGTTTTATTTACTCATGCAATCTAGAAGCTGTCCCTCTTCTATTGTGTATTGTATTGTACTGACTGTACTGCACTGTATTGTACTTATACATAAAATTTAATGACTGTCCATCCCACTTATAGAGTGGTTTTAGACTCCAGATTACAATGTAAAAAGTAAGAAAAAGGAAAAAGAAAAGAAAGAAACCATGAGTGACTTAAAGCTAAATATTGGAACAAACAAACCAACATACAAAAAAATCCAACAGGGGCTCAACCACCATCCTGCCCCAATAACCAGATCTTTAATAGTTTCTAGCATGTCATCAGAGTGAGACCCATCTGGATAGCTTGGAAATCTAATTCCAGAGGGCAGGTATCATGACAGAGAAGACATACTTCCTTGTCCTGTTAGATGACATTACTTAAATAGGGATTTGAAGTGCACTCACTATGTCCAATTCCAGTAGTTGGATAGAGGCAGATGGAGAATGACTCTAGTTCCAAAGCCGTAGCATGAGCCCAGCATAAAGAGAATATAGCAATGAAGTCAGGATACTAATAAGCAATTAATTCAACTCTTTATGGGAGAACTCGACAACCTGTGACCCATTGGCTCATCGTCTCAGAGATATTTCCTTACCCAGAGAAACAGAATGACCACGGCAAAAATGCAGTGCGAGTGAAAGTGACTTCTGATTTCTTGGTGGCCTGACTGGATCTGACCAGCCTCCAACATCCAATTGTGGACTATCTACTTGGTCACCAGGGGGCTGGGACAGAACCAGTCTATTGAATCTCTGGGCAGCGTAGCAGCACTGAAACAACTATAAATTTGCCAAATGTCAATTCCATGGTGCAGGGTCCATGAAAGTTTTTGTAGTATATAGCAATAGCACTTAGACTTATATACCACTTTATAGTGCTTTACAGCACTCTCTAAGCAGTTTACAGAGTCAGAGTATTGTCCCCAACAATCTGGGTCTTCATTTTACCGACCTTGGAAGGCTGAGTCAACCTTGAGCCTGGTGGGATTTGATCTGCCAAATTGCAGGCAGCTAGCTGTCAGCAGATGTAACTGCACTACTGCATTCTAACCACTGCGCCACTTAGGCTCTTATACTATATACTGTAGATAGTCTTTTGGAATGGAGGGGTTCTTTGTTCTATGTGCATATTGAAGTCAAAGAAAGCCCATCTCAACACTGCCCAACTGTTTACAAAGTCTGCATTACTTAATCTTCTCATCATTCCTTATCACCCATTCCCTCCCACTTGTGACTGTATGACTTTGTTGCTTGTATACTTATGATTTATACTGACTGTTTCCTAGTATGATTTGATTGCTTATTGTACCCTATGACTATTATTAGGTGTTGTACCTTATGATTCTTGACTCTTGACAAATGTATCTTTTCTTTTATGTACACTGAGAGCATTTGTACCAAGACAAATTCCTTGTGTGTCCAAACACACTTGGCCAATAAAGAATTCTATTCTATTCTATTCTATTCTATTCTATTCTATTCTATTCTAT